AATCACTCAAAAACAAGTAAATTTTTTTGAATTATTTCTTTCAGTTTAATGGAAACTTACTCGATCTTCCTCATTTAATTATATCATAGAAAATTTTGAAAATTTGCGATTAAAGTTAGACTTCTAAAGAATTGAATGGAATCAGTATTTGTGTGGTTTTTGTAGATCATCCAATTTCGAATGGCTGTAGCTTCAAAAACATTAAACCGTCCATCAATACTGCGGAAAGAACAAACAAGTAAGAGCAGCAGAAAAATAGTTATTTCTCAGGATTTTGTTGAATTACCAATTGGAGCTGATTTTGATCCATCGAAACTAAAAACATGTAAAAGTGCTAATATCGAGATGAGAAGTATGCAAAAACGTGGTTCTTGATGAAGTTGTCATGAAATTAAAAGAAAATTACTGGTCTTATACCTTTTTTTTTATCTGGAAACGGTCCATAGGATAGTGAGGGGGTAGGAAAGGTGGCATTTAATAAAACATTTATTAGTTTATGCTCCAGTGATTTTATTAGAAGACGAAATGAGTTGCAATGTATGCTAAGTTTATGTCATGCAAATTTTCCTTCATATGAAAAGTATAAAATGAAAGCATAAATGTTTGATGTCATTTGATAAGTCAATATAACAGAAGTTCAGTTCAAAGTAGTGTGAAATATCAGGAGTTTAGAAGGGTTGGAAGCTTGGAAATTATTTGGGGATGAAATGATGGAGAGAACTGTCAGAGCATTGCGAGTTCAAGGTCCGGGTCATGGTAGAGAAGTAGAAATTACATTCGGCGAAGAGCATCTTCATGCAAGTGGTGTTTTCGCTAATGTTTATTCAGCTAGATTGTACAGACCTGTAGAAATGATCGTTGCAATCAAGAAAACATGGCCAGGTAAAGGATGGTCGGTAATTAACCCAGAAGTCTACTATCTATCTCGAATGAAGCATCAATGCATCGTAACACTTCTCTACCATTTCACTCTAAAATCAAATAATGAGACATGTCACTGCATGGTTTTTGATTACTTACCCACAGATATGGGCAAACTGCGAATGAGCAAAATAGGTCGTCGTTTCCCTCTCCTGGATGCTAAATTATACGCCTTCCAAATGTTCTCAGCTATAGACTACGTGAATGCCTTAGGCATTGCACACCGGGATGTCAAGCCATCTAACTTGATTGTTGATGACGAAAAAGGAATCTTGAAATTGGCTGATTTCGGCAGTGCCAAATTATTAAGAGAAAGCGAAGAAAATACACCATACCAGGTTAGTGTAGAAAAACGCTTTTTTTGCTGATGTTAGAAGGACATGGTTCTACAAAAAAAAAAAAAAAATAGGTTTGTAATCTCCAAATTAATGCTTAGTTTTAGGTGACACGTTATTATCGTGCACCGGAACTGATATTCGGTTCGACTAGGTATTCAACAGCAGTGGATGTCTGGGCATGTGGTTGTGTGTTATCCGAATTTGTTACCGGTAAAGTGCTCTTGCAAGGAAGTACTTGGCAGGACCAAGCTCGACTAGTTATCGACATATTTGGTTATCCGAGCACGGAGCAATGTCAGGCAATGAAAGTAAAAAAACCACGATACGCCCGAAAACGTGCCCGTAGTTTGCGAGTTATATTAAATGCTTGCGGTGCACCAAATGATATGATCCAGTTACTCCAAGCTATCCTTGTTTATGAACCTCATCTAAGACTTAAAGGTAATGATGTGCTCCGACATTCATTTTTCAATGATTTACGGAAAATACCGCTACCAGTACGAAGTAATGGACGAGTGATACCACACCTAGATTACACCATTTATCAACAGAGTACACAAAAAACGAATTCTGATGAAACGGACACTGACAGTTCGGATGAAAAGGAGAATGAGTCATTAAAATGATTATATTTTTATTATTGTTTTCAAAATTAAACGTCTCTTTTTCTTTTAATTATGCAAAACAATAGGTTAATCAGTGATCAGAATATTTCAAATCAAGAAGACACTGGAAGTTCTGTTAATCATCTCACAATATAACATCAGGAATTCAGTTTAGTGTAATAAGGTTACTGGGGTCACTCATCAGCCCATGTAAAAGAAATCAAAGGTTGTGTAACTACATTTGTTTAAAAATTCTCCGAAATATGTCAAAAATTTTGAATTTAGTAAAAATAAGTTTGAGAAGAAATAAATATCTAGTCGTACATTCAGAATAAACATCAACGAAGAAGTTCGCTGTGCAAATAATCCGATCACATTGCTTTTAAATGTTAAGGCTAGAATATTATTGATGGTAGTACTTGAAACAGTGCCAAGGTAAATAAAGCAAAAGTAATTGATTTGCAGCAAGTACATTCCCGATTTCTTAGGAGCTCTAAGGAAATCCCTCTAAAAAGTTCGATACTTTATAATCAATGTTACTCACTCAGTAATGAAGTATTAACGAAAATAAATAGATATTGACGAAAATAAAATAGATTGCAAAAAGATGGTTCTTCAGATGCTTCTAATATCGTGCATCAACAAGTTGACATTTCCTAGAGGCCACCCATACTGTCGTGAATGACGATAGGCATTACATCAGAGTATGTGTGGCTTTTACAAAAACCCTATTGAAGACGGGAGTACATGGAAGAATAATTGTTTCCATCACTTTGTCGTTCGAACAATTTCCAAAGACTGATTGTATTTCTGCATAAGTTCTTTACTTTTCAATCACTGATTCATATTTGCATCAAACTTTATTTAAACACTTATTGCAGCATCTTTTTTCCCTTGCTTTCAGTCAATTATTTTATGTCTGTGAAATCCACAAATTGAATAATCTTTCCCAGAGTGATTACGAAGAATTGTGGAGGAAAACTGCCTCTCGAATAATTTAAAAAATAATATCTACTAAAATACTCGGTCTTTCCACTCATTTTTTTGGATATGATTGTTTCACTCTGTGTTAGTCATCTAATTTAGAGCTTTGTGTTAATATATTTTTTGCCAAAGGTAATCTGAATAATACTACGCTAAATATACTATACTATTCTCTTTGATTGATTTTCAAAGTATTTTCTGATATATTTGTTTAATCCAAAATTTGAAAAAACCTTCCAATAAAAATTTTATCACAAATATCTTCGCTACAATTGGCTATTTTTTATTTGTGGATGTTTTCCGACCGCGCTGGTAAAGTGGAGATTATTGTATTTTTTGGGAAGTTTGCGCAAGGTCACACCAGAATCGCAAGAAACATCATTCCACCTTTGGTAATTAAACCATTAGATAAAAGATACAATATTAATGTCACGTAATCACTAGGAATTAAAAAACATAAATTGACGCGTAAAGCTAACCATCAAAACGCCGCCACAAGATAAATTCCAAAGACACCAATTTGGAGAATAAAAAAGGAAAAATATTATTTGGCTGTGAATAGGCTTATATATATCCTTCAAGGATTGGTTTTATGATTCCAAGGATTAGCGCATTTGTTAGCGTACATTGATTTAGCGCTCTTTGTTAGCGCAATTTGTTGACGCACCTTGCTAAACAATGAGCACATATACAATTTTATGCACAACGATAGAACTTATTTATGAAGAAAAGAATTTGAAGTTTGAGGAGAGCACAGTGGGACCTCGTTAAATGCTTACTGTTGTCCTGGACCACCAAATATTAATCAACCGATGGGAAATGTTCATGTGGGCAGTCCCGATGCTTGGGCTTCTTGGAATGAACCAACAAATAACAGCAATTTCGATGATTTCCAGATGTAGCATATCTTCGAGTGCCATAACAGTTGTAAATAAATAACTGATTATACGAAGTTTAATGCTTGGATTAAGGGATGCAATTTATTTGCTTATCAGATCTTCATTATATATACTGCTTAGCAACAAAGCCATTGTAGTAAATTTCAAAAAATAAATCCTTATATTTTTGTTTTTTCTCATGGAACTTTTCCGGGTTTGTTCATGACAGCTTATGCTTACATCGATTTGACAAAGTAAAAATCTGCAGTGTGTCTTGATTTTTTTCGTGGTCCATCTTGTCTTATTTACTTTTCGAGTTTCGATGGATAAGAAATTATATGAAACACTATTTGCAAGCAATGTTTACAAAAGGAATAAATGATGATCTATTGATCTATTCCTTTTCTTTTATCTTTGGTTTATCTTAAAATAACTTAAAATTTTCAGCATTCGAACTTCAAATTCAACAGATTTGCGCTTTTTGTGTTTCGTAATTACTGGTCTCAATTAATGACCCGAGTGTATTCGATGACTTTTCAACAGAATCTTCAAAGGCCTGTCTCATTCTCGACAGAAGATGCACAACTTATGCTTCCCTTATGATCATTATATTAAGTCTTCAACAAGATTGTTAAATAAGATAATATTGTTGTCATGTGGCCAGTGATAATCGATAGCCATGGGGTGAAGTAGTTGTAGTCGTTGTAATGGCATTCATAGGTCATGGACCCTAGTATAGAGAAGAAAAGACAATGTTCTCAAACAGTTTTCTTATACTGGGATAAGAAGCATTATATGCGCCACATCGATACTTAATAACTTGATGCAAAACTGGAACAGAAAATAAAAACCTGTTCCATTCACAATGTTTTCACTCTGACCATTCTTCCAATAATTTATTTTAATTATGATTTCAAATTTAATCTCAGTTCATGATTTAAATAAGCATCAACTCATTTAAATCTGAACTGTTGCATGGTAGTGCCAAATTTGTCGTCTTCATTTGCCATCATTTTTAACTACGTTCGGTAGTAGCTAATTGTTGGCTCCTGGAACACATTTCTTCTAATTTTTAACCTCAGAAAATGTTTGTATTTCAGACTAATTCTTATTTAAATCGCCACCTTTGAATTTGTTAATTTCATTTTCTTGAACATTCCTGAATTTAGTTCTCGAAACTGTTGGTTATTTTAAGAAACTCAAACGAATTTCTATTGATGTTACATAATGTATACTTTGAGAAATCAGCCAAACAAATATGCCCAAATTATAAATCAATTGGCAGTGAAGTTATTGACAATTTTACAAGCTTTGTAAACTGCAAATACTTCGATCCAACTCATGAAACTTCCAAAAAAATTCAGCCGTTATGAGAAATATAGAGGTAAAACACACACACACACACACACACACACACACACACACACACACATACATACACTTGCACACACATGCACACAGACACATCGCACATACACATGCACACAGACACATCGCACACACACATGCACACACATATGTACACACAAACAAACAAATGTGGAATAGATGGATATCAAAAGCAAAGACTCAATACTCAGTTTGACAGCCCAGCTTTTCCCTATTTAAGCATACTCGAGGAGCAAAGCATTCATTCAGTAATCCACTGGCTTGGTACAAAGATAAATAAGTTCTGGCTTTACCCACTCCTTTTCCTTCATATTTCTTGCCTTCAAGAAATTAAAGAATAGCCAAAATCGTTTATTAGGAATTGCGTTATAGTCTAAAATCTGGTTTTATCTGAAGTTATTTACCTTGATAAGCATGCTTTTAAACCCAATTCAAGTTCGCAGAAGGATGAACTTTGATGGGATGATTCATCCTTCCTCATTCCTCACTTCTTTAAATAATTTAATAATGTATTACAAATATTAATTGGCATATGAATAATGTCATATGCTTGATCAGTGATGTTTTCCATTTCTAAGTCCATCAAGTTTTTACTTTTTTCTTTCATCAGAAAAATTTGTCAATTTTACAATGATCACTATTGCTGAAGAAATTATCTATGAGAAACCTTATCTATGAATTGGTTCTTAGATATTTCTACCATTCTGTAAATCTACTTGATAAGAAGATTGCTGCTTGAAATAACATAAAAGTTGCATTGATTGTCTTAATGGTATAAGTCTCATTGCAATTAACATCTGAGCAGGATCTGTGTTTGTAATTAAGGAGTTTAATAGTAGTGGCCAAAGACAAGATTTAGATATTAGACACAAGTTGTGTGTACTGTTCCAGTGTTATCTGTCCTTTATATTATTGTTCCTATACAAAACTGTAACTGTTATTTTTTGGAACGTGTCCAACTGTCTGTTTGTCTGTCTTTCTGTTTCTCTTTTTGCATATATCCGGTTTCCGGAACAAACCTTCACCTGGGATTATTTATGTTTCCCTATCCTGCACTTCTGGTCATAAACATTCGAAAAGTTCTTCCGTAGGTCGTAAACATTTAAAAAAATTTTTTTTTCCTGTAAAAGCTTAAAATGATTTGAAACACCACAGCTTAATGGCTCGATATTGACAGTCGAAATGATTAAACGAATACTATTACCGATAGCTTTAATTTCGACTGAAATAAACACATAGTTTAATAGTTGGCTTAATATTCTGATATGCGACATATATGACATTTGTGACGAACAATTTTAGTTAAGGCCCACTTCGATCATTTTTGTCAACGATTTCATTTTTGATTGCAAGCAATGGTTGTAACACAATTTCATGCTATAGTAATATGAGTTTTCCTCGATTACTGATTATTATCCAGGTATTCTCATGCCGGTGCTATGTTGCTATACAAAACGACGTTGTGCAAGCCCAGCAGCCAAATCACCAGAACAATGCAGAGTAAGCATTTATATTTCAGAGCTTTATTTGAAATTTCGTTTTGATAAAATTACGGTACGTTAAAAGTGGATTATTCAATTGAGTTAACTCAGTGATTAATTTATGAAAATTAGCTTACCTGTAATGCATGCAAGACCATGATACTTTGCTAATTTGAGTAGTTTGCGACTGTGTCAACGAGAAGTTCTCGATAACATTGACGGCAGAAATTTTAAACCAATAAGGAACCAACAAAAAGAATAAAAATTTAAACAAATAAACTTTTGAACTAGTATGGTTTGTGGAAAACTAGTTTTTCCACAAACCATATTTCTGATATTTTATTTAAAAAATTTCATGACTTTTCAAAATTCCACCGAAAGATTTTGTTGTTCGAAACTTGCAAACATTAGCAATTGCTGGTATTCAGATGGAAAAAATTCGCCAAATGAATTGAACAGAAACAACTTATAACGAATCATTACTAAAAGCAAAGAACCATTAGTGTTAAAATAGCATTCAGTAAAATATTTCAAACTAGCTGCTGCTATGACTATTCCGCTTAGTCTTCCTTCAAGAGGATAAAATATTGAAACTGTTTTCAATACTGGACAAGAACATATATGTTTCATTTTAGAAATAACTATCCTTATTAAAATCGAACAATAACCAAACACTGATTTATAGTCACTTGCTATATATGTATGTAGAAAAAGAAATTTAGATTGGGGTTAGCTCCACATAAAATCGTTATAAAATTGCCGGATGTTGAAAAAACTTTGCAGCAAGGCACATTTGGCATGAGGTTGGCAAGATTGGACGAGTTCGAAAGTTTGACACCATTAATGATCGCATCAGATGGTGACGACCAAACATCGCTACGACGTCACCGCATTTCGGCAATCACTTCGCGAAGTCCACCACCGCCAAGATGCTTGACCAATGGAAAAACAATGATCGTCCCATTGAATTCCAGAAAAGGTTCACTCCAACCATTATTGCAATAAAATATCTTTACACCATGTAACAAATCAATTCTCACTTGGATCTGAGATACCATTTCAAAATTTCAATCTGATATAAACCCGTTCGAATTTATTTCGCTTTAAAGATGCACATTCACTACTAGAAGGAAAGATTTGATTTAATCTGTTTTAATATGTGGCCAATGGATTTCTAGCGAATTTTATGAAATCCAAATCTGCTATGATTATCTATTTCTATTCCATTATTTTAAATTTATTTTGAATTAAACCGTCTATCTGTTTTACTTTATGGAAATGCAATATTCCATGCAAATCTTTTACTTCCCTGTAGTTTCTGAAAGGGAAAAGGAAAAACAGAAAAGGGGGCTGAAATGAATTTAGATGATTGAACCAAAAAGATGGCATTCAGCCAGTCATTAATCTTTCTTAAAGAAATGCTAATATCACCCTATTAGAACGAAAATAAAACGGAGACAAATCTTCATCGAAAGTGTTATAATAATGTTCAAACAGCGCAACTTAAGTGCAAGAAATAAACCCTTGGAATGAGCGCGAGAGCATTATTTGATTCTATCCTTGCGCACATTAAAATCTTCTATCAAACAATTTTTGACAACTTAAAAAATTTCAATAATTTCTCTCTTTTTGTCTGAAATTGGAAAAGGATAGACTTATTCCTAATTTAGCAATAAACAAAAGCGACTATTTCACATGTATATGCGCAAAAATAAAGTGTAGAAGTATGAATAAGACTGCAAAATTTTGCCTATCCATTATAATTGCATTTTTCCTTTCATTCTCATTTCTTTTCATCTTTTCCCATATTGCAGAGCTTTTTCTCCTAATTTTTTTCTAGTACAAAAATATCTCATCGAGTTATATCCTGAATTAAGGATTAAGGACTTAGACTAAGGACATTCCAAAATGAGGACAGTTACTTAGCGATACAAAATATTCTTCTAACTATAACAGTGATTGAAAAGAGGAGATTTGCTTCTGATTTGGATTTAAGACATTTATCAAGGCCTTAAGATTTACAGTAGAGCCGGTAATAAGTTTTATTTAATGAATCAGTTTTCATTTAAAATTTTTTAGGAGGCGCATTATTTGCACCATTACTTGCTACACCCGACAGTAAAGGTATATCATTCGAGAATGATACCACGAAAGGTTGCAATGCGATAGTGGAAGATAATGATAATGTCCCGATATCCTCAAACCTGGATAAATTAGACGCGGATTTTATTTCTATTGATCGAGTTTGTTCATTATGAATATTTAAACATTGTTTTTGTTTTAGTCAATGGATAATTTTGCTTTGGTTTTAGACTACTGTATCCTATTTGGAACCAAGACAGCAAAGAATTCATCAATGTGAGTGCGGTATATCGAGGCAGGATAAAGCACCCAGCTTTGAAGTAGAGTTTAACTTACTAAATGCTTGAAAACTGATGATTTCTCCCTTTTACTACAATTTTTTTGCACTCGGCCTAATTTCAGTTATCAACTCCGAGTTATGCACCACCACCATTACCCGTACTTTTAGTCAATTCACCACGGCGTAAGTTATATATTATTTCTTATTTTTGCATTCATTTGATTTTCTAATTAATTCACGTATTCTTATATCTTTTGCTAATTTAACGAGTTATTCAGTGACTGACTGCTAGATACAATCATATCTCGATGATTCGAGATGTTCATGATGTTAGTCTTTAGACCGTTCCCTTTGATCTATTTCTTGACCAAACCGCTGGAAGTCTGATTGTCTGGTTGCATTGACCAGTGCTCTTGCATCTTCTCTTCTTTGAGATATACACAAATTTACCTTTGTTGCAAAGGTGGAGGTTTTTCCTGATATTATTGAATATAATTCCAACAATTTTAGTACTTTAGTCATTTTTGTTTAAAGCAATACAGACGAATCAGGAAATCTGTGGGCAGAATCGAAACACTATTCAATAATTTCAGTTGAACTACGAAAAGAGCTACCAGCGATTAATGAAACCAACAACGGCAGTCTTGATATTAATGATGGTGCGAAGACGAATAAAAGCCCAAGCATCAATTCAATGAACTCTCTTGGCAGGTTTGTTTTTTTAATGCAAAACCTATCGCTCATACACACGCTTGAAGTCATTTCTTTTAAACAGACATTTTTGTAAATATTAGTGCAAAATGAAAGATATAATACGCACTTAGCCCTCTAAATTATTAAATCTTATCACTATTTAGATGTCAAGCATGTTACAGCCCGCAAGATTCATCGTTCAGCACAGGGTCACCTCTAGACACGAGTGCTTCCATTAGTGACAGTTTTTGTGTTGCTGGTGAATGGGAGATGAATTTGGGAAAGAAAGGACGAGTTTACTCTCTCGAAACAGGTAAGTAAGTTTGCAGCAATTTAAAAAAGTTATGCAAAAAGGAAATGGAAAAGATTACATTAGTATACGCCAAATTCTATTCAGAGATGCTAAGATATAAATGCCAAAGTGTAAATTATGAAATTATATATGCTTGAAGTAAGGTTCAATTTTATGTTTAAACAGGAATTAGTGGAATAAAAATGGAATTTGAAAAAATATTTGGATAAAATATCAAGCTCAAACTTCAAAATATTTCAGGAGTACAGCAGCGAATTGATATGGAAATTTATGGATTTTCTCCAGAACTAGATTACTCAATATCTGAGCCTGATTCACAGCAGAAATATATTCTTCATCGGTGAGCTATTCAAAATTTTCATCTATTCATTTCTGCGCGCTTAAGCGCTAGAGCATGAAATTATAGGATGGAATTCAGTTAAATTATATTCTGTTGAGGACGATAATAAAACTATATTAATATATTGTCCAAAAAAAAAAGATGTCTTTATGCATTCCAATGAAATATTTAGTGAAAATATATTAAATATTATGTTGACAAGAAGTTAGAAGATAACATTGTCTTTCAGGTACTTTGTTAACCGAATAAATTACTCAATTTTTAGAATAGAGGAAGAGTCGGACCAAAATGGGGACATGGAGATAGCTGGCATGGTAACAAGTCAAACGCTTGATTCGATCAAATCAACGTTCACATATTTGAATCAAGTAGATTCCCAATGCAATATTATTATACCGCATTCTATTTCTCAGCAGGTAAAAAATTGAGCTCTAACTTTTCCAATGATTAGAATTCCAAGAAAATCAAATTCCAATAAGTACTTCAAAAGTGCATTTGCAGTTGAAGGCTTGACGACATCCTTATATGTAAATTTCAGACACTAAAAAATGGAAAATAATTTTAAATTTTTAATGTCTGAATTCAATATACAGATTTAAATGATCCTATGAAGGACTTCTGTACTCTGTCATTCACAGCAAATTTCAGTTTGAACTAATGAATCATCATGAATGTTCGTGATGAAACGAATTGGTATTATGTCATTTTGACACGTTCTCGAGCAGTAAAGTTGTTTACTTGAAGTGAAATGTTTTGAATAAAACTTATTCAAAAATGAAATCATATTCAAATTACACGTCCAACGCATATATAAGAAATGACAGTCCAAGAAGTTGCCAGCTAGTAAGAAGAACTGAATTAATCAAAGTTTCCTAAGGAATAAATTGTAACTGATGATCAAAACGATCCGAACTGACTTAAACTAATTCGAATCTACAACTAAAATTTTGATCTGTGCTGATTAAGACTTATGACAGAGAAGAATTTGTTATTTAATTGTATTTTAATGAAAACGAAGTGAAACAAACTATACGTTTTGGACTATTCCTGTTTTCAGAAAATAAATTTACTCTTTTCTGATAGATAAAAAAAAGACTAAACAAAGTGCTGAAAGAAGGCATTGGAAGTCATCTTGACATTGGAGAACTGAAGAACGAATATGACTGATTCATTCTACTGCATTGTTATATCAAATACCAACGAAGGAGAGGATTCATTCTACTATAATGTCAGTTCAGATAACGATCCCAAGAAGTAGGCATACAAAATAACTATGATTCAAATGTTTTACGAACTGTGTATGCTTTCAATCAAAACAGAAATCATCACAATAGCACATCTTTGGACTGGTTCTGTAATTCGGCAAATCACTAATTCGGGTTTGCTGGGTACCGAAATTTCGACATGCAAGTTTAAAGGATCGGACTGAATTTCAGATTAAAATGACTGATGGATTCAAATACTAAATCGTTTTGATGATTATTGCGATTCTGCTGTGTACGGTTTATCGAATGTGCAAAATGTGGTTAGATCTAAGAATTGTTTTTTAGTATTTGGGCAATAGATGTTAGTAAGGTTTCCGACTGATAAGAGTAAGTCATGAAATTAGGCAGTCAATAGGTAAGTAAAGAAAAAACGTAAAGGATGGAGGAAAGACTATTTACCAGTTAGAGATTTGGTATCTCCTCTGCACCAATTCACAACTTAAGAGAGCGGAGCGGCGGTATTACTCATCATCCATTCGATACGAGACAAAAGAATGTATGATTGTGAACCCATAGTTCTGAAATAACCATTATGTATCGAAATGGAGAAGGGAGAAGAAATAAGGCATGGAATGCTAACTAAGACATAAATAAGACCTATCAAATTTTGTCTAATATCGGATAATTTCTTCGGGTCATTTTACAATAGGGCACATTGCGTTTCATCATTTCTATTCAAATCGCATGCACTTTGTAAAATAAATTAAGGTTGTATAACAGATAAAGGAAACAGAACGAATGTAAGCACATTACAGCAATTTCATTATCGTTGTTTTTCTAAATATTGGAATCGAATCACCATTTCAATCTATACATCTGTTTTTTTTTCCTATTGCATAACAGTAAAAAAAATATATGCACCTTGCATACTGCAAGGTGCATATATTTTTATGGAGTGCAAGGTATACAAGGTGCATATATTTTTATGGAGTGCAAGGTGTACAAGGTGCATATATTTTTATGGAGTGCAAGGTATACAAGGTGCATATATTTTTATGGAGTGCAAGGTGTACAAGGTGCATATATTTTTATGGAGTGCAAGGTGTACAAGGTGCATATATTTTTATTTCCTACTTAATTATTTCTGTCCAGTTTCAAATTCCTATCAGTCATTAAATGTCAGTTTTTGCATACAGCACACTCACTAATATCTTAGTTCATTCGAGTTGTTAGAGAGACAAATTAAGACAAATATTTCCTTTTTTTTTAAAGCTTTAAGGTTGAAAATCGTGCTTTTTCTGCGTATGTTTCTCGATAATCGCTAGAAAATAGTTTATTACACGAAATGTCCGAAGTAATGGTCCTTAGAATAGAGTGTTTACCACTGGTCATTTTTATGAACTGTCCATTAAGGGGATTATATTATTGTCATTATTACTATTAACAAACTGAAGTTTTTGTGGTTTGTGCAAGAGATGACGTGATTTGTTTATAAGCACAATAAGTATTTTGGCTATGAGCTGCATGTGTGTGTGTGTGTGTGTGTGTGTGTGTGTGTGTGTGTGTGTGTGTGTGTGTGTGTGTGTGT